GTGCGAGTTTCGATGTTATTGCGAATGAAAAATGAAGGAGAGGAGATATACGTCGTGATTAAATATCTCGGGCGAGAGATATGCGATCGTTTCTCATTCAATGGCGATCAATCACGCGTTTCTGTCATGACGCGCAATTACATTACAAGTCCGATCTCAGTTGCACGCTGAGGATAGGAAAAGAGAGAGAGAGAGTGAGAGAGTGAGAGAGAGACCTACACCTATAACAGCTAATCGCGTTACCTTTAAGAAAACTACTGTTGATTCGATATCGATGTCGTATCTACCTACATCTAAATTGCGATCTCTTTAGAATTAATGAGTGTGACGTAATAATGTTCGATAGTCAGTGTTATTAGCGTATACCTAATAGCGCTATGATTAATTGCAAATTGCCCTCGCGTAAGTCGTCGTGTTAGCTTTTTTTCCCCTTTACTTTTTTTCGTACGTGATTGGATAGGCTGAAAATGAAAAGCGATTTAGCTTATAATTAATTTATAATTAATTTATGTTATTAAATGAACGTATTATCAGAAATCGATACGTATCTTTAAATCTTCAGTTGTACGCTGAAATCATCTATGCTTTGTTATACGATTAAAGCGCTCACCGGCAAGTATTAAGGGCGTTGTTCGTATAGTCTGAAAGCTAAACACCGATACAGCCGTTTGCGGCGTCGATCAATTAATTAAGCAGCGACACACGACGCGTTACTCAAGGGCGCCTGATTAATCGGGCAGTCTCTCGAACAGCGCAGCTACACCTCGTACATGATCTTAAGGGTTAAAGTACATACATTTACGCTATAGGTAATGATTAAAGTTAGGCGGCAAAGTCGACTTCTCGCGATAATCGATTGTATTATCCAATCGTCATAATTCGTGAAACAGCCGCCGATGCCGAAAACCGACGTCGATCGCGTTGAAATAATTAATTATCCCGCACCACGAGTATTATATTTCACTTTAAATTTATTTATATAACAAATTTTTACATTTTTATTTTACGTATAACGCGTACATTGCATTTGAAGCCGTATGTATGCGGCCGCAGCTGCGCGTAGGATCCTTCGATTGAGTTTCAAACGGAAGTTCGTCAGCAAAACACATACGATATTCGATCGGGGTACACTCCCGAATCAATTTTCCGGAAGCCTTAATTCGTCCGTAACATCGCGATTCGTTACACCGGATTTCTCTCTCGCGGTATATCACATCGCGGATTATAGCCTCGACACGATCGGTCGGCGGTGGTGACGTAACGGCACTTTGTATGCAAACCGCGTTCTCTCCGGGACTTTTTCCAGCGCGATGCCGTTCCAGCACAGAGAAATAGAGAAATTAAAAAAAAAAAGAGCCTGCGGAGGAAATTCGCAGAGGCGAGAGAGCGCAGAGAGAAACGACGAATAATCCCAGAACCCCCAAGAATTAACCGTCGACGAAACCGTTTAATGTATATCTCTGGTGTATATATAACGTATATATACTGTGTGTCACGCATTCCTAGATGTACTTTTCTCGTACGAGCGAAATACTTGTTCAGGTTCGCTAAAGACGACCGAAGGAGGAAGCGCCGCGAGAGAGAGAGCGAAACGTCCGCGCGAGTGCGAACGTTCCCGTTCGGACGGACGAGACCTACTACACGGATATTTTTTTCGCGAGAGCTGCAGCTATATCGATTGCGGCCGGTTTCAGTTGCACACGAGCGGACGGGCGACGACGATGTGGCTACGGGTAAATGCTACTCGGGGGGAGGGTGGGACCCGGGCAACACCGGAAGTGGGCCGGAAACCATCAAAGTGTAAAGGGAACGACGATAGAACACGATTGCGCGATTAGAAATCCGGTTCCATATGCATATACGGAGCGGCAGCGGGGACTAGAGTTAAAAATTCGATCGATAGACCGCCTCTAACTTAACTCCCCGTACGCTGAATAATTAAATCGCGATGGAGGCCCTCCCCCTCCCTCCGCCCGGCGGCATTCTCGGAACGCTAGAGCGAACGAGGGTAAACGTGTGGTTGTTAAGAAACGGGGGCTACTTTTCGTGATTTCCCAAGATAGAAACGTGCAGCGAATTCACGTGGAAACCGATAAAACTTTTCGTTCCGGAGGGGAGAAAGATCCTGCTTTCTTTTGTATATTGCATTTCGTTGAAGAAAGAACTGTTAGCATTCTCTTCGGGGAGGAGTGTTCCGAAATGCCCCGCGCGGTTCAGCTGTAACGAGGCAGCGACATCGTATGGTATATATTGTTTTTGTTCATTAAATCGCGCGAGCGGCCCTTTTCCGTGTAAATCGCTTTCGTTTGTCCCGCACCGCCTGTACCGCTATTTTGCTGAAAATTGTATCTCTCGCGGCATGTCTACCATCTGCCCGACACACAAGCGGGAAAATTCAGCCGGGGGAACGTTTCACTCGCTCGAGCGCTATACTCCAGCCTGATTATCCTTCTGATCGTGAAGAGATACACGCGACTCACCTCTCTGTATTTTCATCCGAGCCTGATAACAGCACAACGACATACCTCTCCTCTTTACTCGTAAAGCTCTTTGTATGTAGCGTATTCTAACGTACTCGTCGGGGGAGTCGCGATCGAAGTATGCAAGGTGTATCCCTTCGATTTCTTGTATCCTTTCGAACCCGCGTCCTTTTACGATCGTTGATCGTAATCCACGCCGTCACGACGCGATCTAATCGGATCCAAGATCTCTCAATCAGAGATCCAAGCCATTTCAAACATTCCCGTTACTCGTACCTGAATGAATCTTGAGCTTGAAAAAGAGTTCAATTAAACCGGAGAGACAGCGGAATCAACGAGAAAAATTATAATTATAGATCAAAAGTGAAAAAAAAACTTTGTAAAAAATCAAAAAAGCCTTGCGATATCTACGAGATATATTCCCAAGTTCTACCAGTCTGCGTATCGGACTGAATGTTGCACTGCTGAATTTTGCGCAATTTATAAACTCTGTATCGTGTATTTGTGAAATTATTATACTTCCCACTTGGAGAGGAAAGTTCCCTCGTGATTAACTAAAGGCACAAGCATTAGCTGCACCGTTCCATTAATTTCGAAAGGATACACCTACGGTCAGGATGAGACGGAGCAACGATACGACCGCAATCGCGAGAGACTCGCATATCAAGTTGCAAAAAAAAAAAAACAAAAAAAACAGGCGAACAATCGCGCCATATGGCGCCGCGTGAACGGGAGCACCGTGACGGAAAGACGAGACAAGAGGGACAGAAAAGATTTGGCCTAATCTACAAACTCTATATCGATTGTATATGTATACTACTGTTTAATATCCACGTCGCTGCGGTACATCACGCGTTCATGCGGTATATCACGCCCGGCGGGAAAGAAAGCGCGAGGCGTTTGTATTAAAATCCCCGAGCCCATCATATCCACCGCTATGCAGATATACCGCATAATGTGTTAACAGCGTTCACCTGACATCTGACATCGCGCACACACTCGTCCGCACACACATACCCCCACACACACACACACACACGTACACGTGTATACACGGCACGGACACACGTGGCTCTCGATGCACTACTACGGCGATGATCACACAGCGTATTGCGACACACAACGACGAGGCATACAGACGCGAAAGCATTCGCGATACCGAATGCGATCCGACGAGCGTGAGCGCGACGTTTTCGCGCACCTTTTCTCGCCATCCTATCCGTGAAAAAGAAGGAAAAAAAAAAGAAAAAAAGAAATACCTTCCCGACGTGTCATTACGAGATAAACTGTGCGCGTTTATTATACATTATATCCCGCCCCCCCCCACCCCTCTCATCGCTAATTACTGTCGTTGTTAATGATTAATTGTCAGCGTTACCGCAAAATACGATTATCGATATACAATTATTGTCTCTGATCTTAGCGAGTTGATATACACTCTGATTGTAAGACACGACACGCGGAATCGTGCAACGGTTCACTTTATATTTCTACATTAATACATACCTATAATAATAATAATGAAAATAATTACTGATAGTAATAATACTCTAATAATAATATATACATAATATACATATATTTAGTGAGAGACGGAAATTTTCCATCCCGTTAATAAAAAAAGATATAGCAAAGGAGCATAATAAATAAATAAATATATATATATATATATATTGATAAACCCGGAATGGAAAAAATAAAAAGTACGACATATAAATATATATATATCTATATACATGTGTACAATAGTCTATAATTTTTCATATTGTTGTACGGATTTTTAAGTTTATATTAAAATGTTTTGTGCATTCATAAAAAAAAAGGAAGTACCAAATATTCGTGTGATGATTTCTTTACCTGTCTGCCTTATTCCCCTGCCATACCTCCATGAGTCTTTATCGTCGTCAAATATACTATTAATGTACTATAAATTACGCGATATATATTGCTTTCAACATGTCGCTCGTAGATAAAAACTTCAGAGAAGGAAAATTGTTAGTATTGTAGATATTTACGCATCAGGCGGGAGGAAGAAGATAGTACTAGCAGTCGCTTGACAAGCAAAGATTTAATTCAACTATTGAAATATGATAATAGGAATTTGAGTGAAATATAAATATTAAATTATAAAACAAAGTATCCAAAACTTGACTTTAATTTTAACTCTGAACTTTAAGGATTAAACAAATCTGTATCGTTTTTAGAGTTTACAAACCTTTGTTTACCCTGCTTAAAAATTGTAACCGTAACGTAATTAAATCGATAATCACGGTTCACTGTTTTCTTCAAAAGACTACATTTGACGTAACCATTAATGAAGATTTAATTGAAACATAGTAATTTACGCAACCTATTTTTCAATTGCAATAATTGTTTCTTGTTTTACTTTATTTATATTGAATCACGTACTGTTTAAAAAAGAATTATAATAATCATAATTAGATCTATATTGAAGAGAGATAATATAATTGAAACTTTATCTAATTTTATTCTCAGAAATTTAATAACAAGAATCAATAATTCCTTTTCTTCTTTTATTGCTAATAATTCATACATTGCAAATACAAGTAGACAAGTACGCAGTTAGTAATAAAACTAATCTAACACATCGCATAATCAGCTAGAGAAAGTAGAAGGAAAGAACGAGAGGAATGGCAAAGACGTAACTTAAGCGAAAACAAAACAATCGAATCAATGAAAGGAAATTCTTAATAAATACCGTTATATATAAGCAAGATAATCACGATTTTTATTTGCATACCATGTGTAATAATAATTATAATTATACCCAATGTATGTATAGTATAGTAGATAAAGAAAGGAGGTTATATAAAAATGGCCAAAATTGGCCTCGATCCTAAGAAATTTTACAGCGTTTCTTGGTGTATATGAAAGAGTAAAATAACATTTGTAATGCCGAGAAGTGCTGGAAAAATTACTAAGAACAGTAAAATATCGTACAAAATGTGTACTGCATACGTGACATTATGTTTCAGTTTTCCTTATTTCTATACGATCAAACTTGTATATATTTTTATACATTTGTATATTCAAATTTTTTAAATCACTCTTTGTCTAATTTAGAACTAACGACGAGGACACGGTGCTTACTGGCCTCATTTTTTTGTATTTTTGTTTTTGTTTTGTTCAGTAATCACCGCGTCTTCGTCGTCGATTCTGGATTAGACAAAGAGTGATTTAAAAAATGTTTATATTTCTTTATTAAAAATAACTGTGGTGTGTATGAATTTGTACGCAAAATGCATCTGAAAATGAGCATGAATGTACAAATGTATTAAAAATATATAAGTCTGATCGTATTAAAATAAGGAAAACTGAAACATATCACGTATGCAGTACACATTTTGTACGATAGTTTACTGTTATTAGTAATTTTCCCAGCACTTCTCGGCATTATAAATGTTATTTTTCTCTTTTATATACACCAAGAAACACTGTGAAATTAGTTTTCGGCTCGAGATCAATTTTGATTATTTTTATATACTCTTTTAAGCGATCGCTGCAGTATCCCCAAGGTGGTTATCGTTATTATCGCTGCAACCAAGCAAAGATACTGAGAAATATACTAAAATGTCGATTAATAATAATGTTTAATTAGTTTTTAAATTATTCTACTCATTTAAAAAAAAAACGAAAACATATACATACGTTAAATTAAATCGAAACGGTAACATGATGCACGTGAACAAACGTATTAAAAGTATAATCTCGTGAAAAAATTGACGATCTAAACACATCTGATTGCAGCGATCAACTTATCATAACCAAGAGGCTGCCATGTTTTTATGAACTCATTATATATATAGCTTTTTCTACTGCTTCAATATTTACACATCTCATTGGTCGCAGTTATACCGTTGCTATATGAAATAGGTAACAAATTATTCGCGATAAATCGTCGCCCGTAGAAGTATTCGTAAAATGAAAGCTTTATCAATATAACAATATGTACAGGATAACCAATTTTAATTGCACACTCTGCATATCTCAGTCGTTTTTCATGCTAGAAAACATTTTTTTCTAGAACAAAAAAAACCAAAATATTTGATGCGTGCAATTAAAATAGCCCACCTCCTGTATCTAAAACCAACGTATTCGTCTTCTTCGACAAAATTATTAACAATATTTGTATGATATTAGATTTTAATCATAATGATTCAAAATTTATCGCAAGGATTGGAAGTATAATATCGTTACAAACAATATCGTTCAATTCATTAAGAAAATCAGAATATTATGCATCAGAATCGATGCAACCTCAGGAACATACCACCCAAGCATGCAGAGAGAATCATGATCTTTCGATTTCTATGGTCAGAATTAGAAAACCTTTCTTGCTGCCTGACGCAGTCAATGTCCAGACTTTAATCGGCATTCTCGTGAAACTTAATATAGTGTATCTTCAGAGCCCTGTTGTTGGGATATTTGACATCGCATCGCGGGCAAGTAGCTCCGATCGCGTCCTTCACTACGTATGTGCCCAGATTGACCTCCCTGTGGAACGCCTTACTGTCGGCCTGGTACACTGCGTTGTGCACATTGGTGATATGGCTCATGATAGACTCCTTATTGAAGACGTGGCACTGCTTGCACAGCTTACAGCTGTACATCACATTATTGTAGACCATCTCGGGGTTGTAGTCCCTTGGCCGTTCGGGTGACGAGATCGTCAATCTGTCATTGCTCGTTGTCATTGGCGCGCTGACGTTAGCTTCAGCTGTCTTCTTGTGCTTGATCGTGAAATGTTGTCGCAGATTCGACAGACCGGGGAATTCCTTGTAGCAGATATTGCATGAAAACTTGCCCTCCTCAGTCGACATCGGTATACACTCGAGCGTCAAATCTTTTCTCCCGCGAGCCTTGTGGACCGTTTGCTTATGCTTGTACAGCACGCTCATGTTAGGGAACATTTTCTTGCAAACATGGCACATAACCGGCTTCCTTCTCTCACCGGCGAAGTCCATGGCGAAAGGCGACAACTTGGTCTGCGAATTGTCATTTTCGAGCTCGAATTTCATGCGCTTCGCCCGCGGCTCGTCCTCCAACGACAATGCACGATTGCTGTTGTACAACTGTTGCTGCCCGCGTGGTTGAGTCTGTAGCTCACTATGAAAGGTGAGCTTGTGCCGTTGCAAAGACTGGCTGCTTGAAAAGGTTTTGCGGCAGAAGTTACACAGGAATTGTGTAGCCATCGGTTTTCTGGCTAAAGATTGGAACTTGATCGAGGCTACAGCGGTAGCCTTGTGAAGCCTTTTGTGCTTCCACAGAACCTTCTTCGAACTGTAAGACTTGCCACATACATCGCAGGAGAACGTCTTTTGTATGTCACTGAGAATAGGATTGGCCTTGTGCCATTGCATATGAGACGCTAGGGTTGCCTGATCGGGGAAAATGTTCGTGCAGAGTTCGCATTGAAGCTCGTCATTGGAGAAACTTTTTTCCTGTTTGTTGCGGGCACAGTGGACGTCCCACAAATGGGTCCTCAACTCTGTGACATCGTTGAATTGGTCATTGCATACTTGACACTGGAAATTTCCCGCTGTCTTCGTTGGTGATTGAAGTGGAGGATTAGGGAAGGACTTTCGTGCTCTCGCCGGCCGTACTGAATTCTCAGCAGACTCAATGCTGTTCGATTCCTTCTGCGCGTTCTGATTGGACGCCTTCTGATTGCCCAGTATAAATCGAGTGCTCAGACGCGAGTTGGCGCGATTGTGCCAGCCCTTATGTATTTTCAAAGACGCCTCCTCGACGAAGACTTTGCCGCAGATATCGCAGGCGTAACCATTCTGCGATTTCTCGAGGTGGGCGGTACGGAAGTGATAATTGAAGTTCGTTTCGATGGAAAAACTCTTAGGGCACTGCGGACACTGCAGCATTGACTTCTTGGAGTTGTGCTTGATCCGCATATGATAATCGTACAGATCTTTACGCATGAACATTCGCGAGCACTCAACACAGTCGTAGATCTTCGTGTTCCGATGGGCGATTTTAGCGTGTCGCCGGAGATTAGCGTAGCTGGTTAGCACCTTACCGCACTCGCCACACTGATGATTCTGCGTACCGGGATCTGAAATGGCACTGGCATTTATTGGATCTTTCTCAATCCTCACGTCCTCGTCCAAGGTGCCGAACTCCACGCAGGAGATATTGGCAGTCCTTTCGCTCAGGTCATCGATACCATGATCCTTCATGTGGATCTCCAAGGCACCGGCGCTGCTGAACAAGCTGCGGCAAATGGCGCACGAATATATCTTCATTTTGAGATGAAGAGTCCGATGCTCGTTCAACTCAGCCCTCGTGGCGAACGCCTGGGGACAGAGGGGACAGCTGTACTTCTGACTTGACATTCGTTGACTGATTCGCTGCTTGGTATTAGTTCCCTTCAGTGCCGTTTGATCTGCACTCTGCGAGGCGTCGTCATGCTGCACTGGCCGATTACCCTGCATTGTCGCGCGATGGCTCTCGTGATGAGTCAGGAAATCGCTGGGCGATCGGAATTTGGAAAAGCACACGGCACAAGTGAAATCCTTTTTCTTGTGATCGGCCGTAACGTGATAGTGGAACTTCTTGAACACAAGGAACGTCATGAAACAATGCACGCATTTGTACAAAGTTCTGCTATCTGGGTCCAACTGCATACACATCTCCTTGTGTTTGATCATATTGGGTCGGTAACGATAGATCATGCCGCACAGATCGCAGGCATGATTGTGCGCCGGATCGCCGTTCTTGTAAGGTCCGCTCTTAATGGGAATGCTGTTTTTCGTGGATGGCAATGGCGCCATAGGCTTCAGCTTCGGCGGGGCTCGCGTTGGCGATATCATTTCCTCGTACTGCTTGTCAGAGTGCTTCGACAAGTGACTGAGCAACTCCTTCCTTCCTTGCATTGAGCGCAAGCACATATTGCACGTGAAGTATCGCTCGTCACCGTGTTTCGGCACAACTAGGGCGATCTTCATGGCGCATTCGAAGGAGGCTCCGCAGTGTAACTGATACATCGATCGGTCTGGAAATTCGGTCAGGCAAGCGATACACGTGTACGGCCTCAGATCCGGCATATGTTGACGTATGTGAGAAAGAGTACTACGTCGATCGTTAAACGTCTGCTCGCAAGAGTAGCATGAAAAAGTTTTCAGTTGACTAATAATCTCCTGTTGGACTGGCGTCAACGGCGAGTCCTTCTCCATACTGACCAATTCATCTTCCAAATCCTCGATCATCTCCTCCTCGTCGTTCTGCGCCTCTGAATGCTCAATACCGTTCTCTTTACTATGGAATCTCTTCATGTGCTTCATGTACGTGTACTTAGAGTGCAAAAATATCTGGCAGTGCGTGCACTTCTGCTTGAAAACGCGCGTTCCTCTGAAGTGTGTGTGAGGACCGCGTCGAAACTTCTTTTTGGCCGGTGCGCCGGCCGCGTTAGACTTCTGCGTGGAATCAGCCTCCATGACCGTGTCCTCTGTTCCACTGACTGCCATGGGATTCAACAACAACTCGCTGCTATTCGTGGATTCTACTTCTATGGTACAATCGGTATCGTCCTCGTCCTGCGGTTCGCTTTTAATGGAATGCAGAATTACAGGATCCGGCTGATCCGTTTGATTTTCTTCCTTGTTAGTCTCCTTTTCCTTTGCGATTGGTTCAGGTGAGATTGATTCAGATGCTATTGGTTCAGAATCAGATGCGATTGGTTCAGATGAGATTGGTTCAGATGCGATTGGTCCAGATGAGATTGGTTCAGATGAGATTGATTCAGATGCGATTGGTTCAGATGCGATTGGTTCAGATGAGATTGGTTCAGATGAGATTGGTTCAGGACCACTATTGTCAATATCATTCGCATCGTTATCTGTTACATCTTGTACTTCCTCATTAGGTTCATTGTTCTCTACTGTATTAGTCGGTGGATGCTAGAGAACAGATAATATTTATATAAAAAAACCTCTTTTATTGTAATCAGCTTTAAAACAAAAAAATTATACTTACTGGTTGTTCCAAATTATTGGTGACCTCTGAGATAATTTCTACATTATCTTCATAATCAAAATCCATTGGTTCATCCTTGATCGTGATAACCTGCAAATATTAGGAACATGTGATAAATAAACAATAGCAAAAATGACTTATAAACAACTATACTTGTATTTTAGTATATGTTAAAATACAACATACCGTAGGATTTAATTGCATTTGATTTGTCAGCCATTTTTGCAGTGTGTCTTGGGATCGCAGGCACGACTCTTTGTAAATATGCCACTGATTAACCCTTTTCGCACAATTTGTGCATATCAGTGTAGACAATTTATCGGTCGCTGAAATCTAAAAAAAATTGAGCATATTAATCATTACATAAAAATTTAGACAGAAACTTTAAATTACAATTGAAATACACAAAATATAGGTGGCACTCGATTGACCACCAGCCACTCACAGCGCTTGAACAATGAAAAATCTCTAGGAATCAGCCGCTGTAAGTGACTGTGGTCAATCGCAACATGGTCAATCGAGTGTCGACCTTTATTTTGTGTATTTCAGTTGTAATTTAAAGTTTCTGTCCAAACATGGTTAAATGGTTCTATTTTATTCTATTTTACCATTTTCTTACAGTTTTGTTTCTTTTTTTTTTTAATTTATATTTTTCCTGAATTTTGTACATATATTTAAAACGCATAAAATATAACAGTTAGAAGAACAAATTTAAAATTGTAGATAAAATATCTTTTGCATTTTATGTTCCTAATCATTATGCACTAATGCACATGTCTATTCTTTAACAAAAATATTTAATTTAAATTTTGAATTATTTAATTCACACGTAATTTCATACAAATTTATAATTTATAGCTCAATCCATTTACTACTATCTATTGGGCTGTACTATCTATTAGACTGAACTTTCTTTCTCACTTTTGCTAGCTATCAAACATATACATATTTCACTTTAAGAGTGTACACTGGTTCAGATATAGAAAATAGATCACATGATTTAACATTCCTCTCAAGTCTCAATCACAATCAAATCACTCCTCTCAACTGATATTATTTACCAATATCATTTTTATAATGTTAAATCATGTAATCTGTTTTCTATACCTGAACTAGTGTATACTCTTAAAGTGAAATATGTATATGCTTGATAGCTAGCAAAAGTGAGAAAGAAAGTTCTAGCGCAGTCCAATACAGTGCTTATCTTAGCTGATAACATCTAAATGTCTCATGCCTATTCCAAACTTCAAGCACATGAAGAGACAATTCAACAGAGCACGTCAAATATTTCACTTATTCACAAAAATGAAATAGACTACAATTATGCTTCGTCGTAGAGGAAAGATTAAAAGAAACAGAGAATGAGTCAATCGGGGGGGGGGGGGAGGAACAGCCCGACCGCTGAATTGGCTCTTGAGTCGGTGCTCGTACAAATATAACCTCGAAACGCGTCGAGCGACGCAATCCGGCGAGGCCTTGCCGTCTCTCGGTCGCGTGACGATCGGGAGTCCTTGGACCGTGGAAGTCCTGTCGACTCTGGGAGAAACGCGGATCACACGCATACGCATACCTGGATCGACAGGCAGGCCTGAATCTTGGCGGCCAGCGGCACGCTGGACAAGTCCTTCTCTTCCTCCTCCTCCTGTGTCGCGAACACCGAGGCTCTAGGCTCGTCCGTAGAAAGGCACAGTCTGCAGACACTCTCCACGTTCTCGATCTCCACCACGTCCTCGTCCATCGTGGACGCTGTGCTAACTCGACGCGCGACGACACCACCACCACCACAACCAGGACGCCGTCGCCAACGCCGACGCCACGTACCCCGTACTTCCGAAGACCTCCCAGGTTAGGGGACGCAGCGTTTTGTTTGCGGCCTCCAACGGAAGATCAGAAATGGCCCGGAGCCGGAAAGGCAAGCGAGAACGCACGTCCAGCTTGCCGGTGACACGCCAAGATGGCGCGATCGGACACTTACGATGGCGAAGCTATGCCGAGAGATGTCTGATCGGACAAGACAGATATTGTTAGACCTCGGTCGCATACGTATCTAATCGTAACAAGTATGACAGAATATATAAGGAGTTAGATTAAAGAAGGAAAAGGGGGTAAAATAATAATAAGAAATCTATATATAAAATATATAAAATAAAATTAATTTGTTGATAAACGATAATTAAATTTAATATTCTGTTTAATTCTATTGCATCTGAATTCTGACTGATTACCGCAGAAATATCAACATTTAATGCAAAAATTTTTTAACTTTTGAAACTGCAGAAAATTTTACTATAGCATGTATTCCAACAAATAAAATTATATAAACTGTTATAAATATTTTATAAATATACAAGTATTAAATATTTTGAGAATAATTTATGGAATATTACAGTTTAAAATCAATTATATATATAATATTAATTATACATATACATATATACTTCATTACTTTAAGTATAATATTTAATATTTAAGTGATAAAAAACGTAAGTAATTTGTATGGTTCCCCATATAAATCATTTATAAAGCCTTTGCGTCTACAATGCAAGAAATTGTTCCGAGATGGAAAAGGACTGAATCAATCGCATTTGTCAATTGGCCGAATTATTCAAATGTGAGTGTTTTATTTCTCCGCCGGGATCTCAAGGCGATTTCTAACATCGTAGATACGAGGATTAAGATGTAACTCTGGATAGGCAATATCGAAGCACAAGTCTGTCGAAATTAGTCACGTGGTCGATGACATACATCACGCATGCGTATGCCGCTTCGTTCGGAAAGATTTTTCCCTCGATTTCCCAACACTTATCTATAGTCATTTAGCTTTGACTGTGTCCATGCATGAATCCGAGCTCGAAACGCTACAGATACTCGTACGCATTTACACCCGTGAATGTGCGCTTTATGAATAGCAAAGGTAAACAAGATGCAGTCTAATTTAAAAGACTAAGTGGAATAAAAACGACTTCAATCAAATTTTGACTGTATCCACATGCATATTTGCTGGACAGATGGTACAAGATAGAAAAAGTTTATTTTTTATATTTATATATTGTTAAATAATTAAATATTATAAATATATTAAATGAACGCATTAAACAAACATTACACAATTAAATAAAAAAATGAAACCAGGGTCGATTCTCGCATAATGGACCTTCCAATTGTTTAACTTGCATCTCATTCCCTTTCTCACCTAATTATGAATGCTTGAATTATATCTCAATGTGTAATTGATGAAGACTAAAAAATATATAACTTACCAGGACCGATATAAAATTTATTTTCTCATTTGCGAAGGAACTTTTTTGAAAATCGTTATCTAAATGTTCCGAGAAATTGCAAAAAGGCATTTATTGTTTTTACTAAAAATGACCAATTGAGAAAGCTTCTTTGTATTTTTTAATCTCAAACACGAAATATATTTCCGTTTTTCACAATAACAGATAAACGAATTCGGCGATTCTCTGTTTTTCATTTGAATTTATATCGAAAAAAATCTGTGGCTCGCGAGGATTGTGATGATCAGGATGGGAATATTAAAAAGGTATGTACATTGTACGTTTGGTCGACTTTTATTTCATATATTCCTTCTGATATATATTTGATACACGAAATTGTCATTTGTACACTGCAGGTAAGACAGATTGCATGTCATATAACATCAGGATGTAACATACGTGATATAGTCTTTCGATCCTCTGCCTGAACCGACTCCAAATTCTTCCCGGATCTTCCGTTTTCTTGCTATAAAATTAACGTCCGCGCTGGCGCACGTCCCTGGTATATGATTCCGTTAATTCTATCGCAAAATATAGACTCAGGAAAATCAAGAGTGATTGAACGCCGGTCTTTCGCAGTAACGTCGATAGAGCTTTATTAAACAATGTCAAGCTTATTGACTCCTCAACAGACAGCGATCCTCAACTTTGTTTAGAACTCTGACATGATTAACGATCGATAAATTTTCCTTGATTCCTCCGTTTGTCGCGGATAACCATTTTCTCTCTCACGGTCAATTGGCATTAGTATTTCTCTCTAATATTACATAAATATCAATTTGTCGATTACAAAACATGCTCATGCGCCTGATAACAATCACGAAACTTATACGGCACAGATTTCTATGGAACATCTTCTAGACTCGCCAATAGTGTCGCAGTTTGTCGATTCGTGGTAAACGGTACCCGGCGAAATATAGTATTGACGCAAACACCAGCTACTCTAAAAAAAGATTTCACGATTCGGCGGTGACGACGATTTTGGATTCGTTAAAAATGACCGCCATCCTCCTCTCGTTTGCCTCACTATCGTTTTTCGCGGCTAGCATTATTATATGGCGACGCAGAAGTCTGTGACGTATTCTCAAAGAAGGCTACAACGAAGAAGAAAGAAGAGAGGAGAGAAGTGGCCATAGGAAAACTTGAGCGTGTTCACGCGTCACTCCATTCATCTGCGAATCGTTTTTCTCAACGTTCTTTCTACAAGATGTAACATCTCTCTTTCTTTCTCTGTTTCTCTCTCTCTCTCTCTCTCTCTCTCTCTCTCTCTCTCTCCACACGCACGCACGCACGCACGCACGC